AACCAGCCGGGGAAGCAGCCGGACGTCGGCGTCGGTGGGTGCTGGCGGCCGTGGCAGCTGCGGCCACTCCGAATAGGAGCAGTCTTTAAAAATGTCCCTCAAGCAGCGGTGCCATGGAGCACCCCGGAACAGGCGGCCGCGTCCTCCCGGCGCCGCGGGAGCGTTCCCAAACCTCCCCGTCAGTCCAGCCGCGTTTTTGCCGTTTTCTCCCAGGCCGTGCGTCTTGCCGTGCGTCGATGGTCGCTATCCCACGCGTAGGCTCTATGGAAGCGGTTCGTCCTGGAGAAGCTGGAGCCTCCGTCCTGCGCCGGGAGCCTCCTGCTTCGGCAGCAGTGGCTCTTGGGGCAGGAGGGCACTGGCTGCTCCCAGTTTTCCGAAGGGAGGGACTTCCATGCAGTTTGGCGAGGCCTGGGATGTGTGAGCACGGGAGCTGCCCCTTGGAACCGGAGCTGCTGGATCCCTGGATGGGGGCTGTTGTTTGCGGAGTGCAGGTCGTTTCATTCCCTACTTGCGGAGTTGGGATCTTGTCGATACAGGGCGTTTTGGCCGTGGAAAGTTGGTGATTTCTGGTCATTGCCTTAGTAGCTGCTTGATCTCCTGGGAATGGGTGTCTTAGGATTCAAGAATGCTTTTGTAAGTAGGACAGAAATAGGAGAGCCCTCCTCCCCAAGACTAAATAGTGACAAAAACATTTTGCTGATTGCAGAAGATGATAATGCAGCTGCTCAGCAGTGACATCCCAGCCATGGAAAAATCACTCCAGTTCTTCAAGCAGTTTTCCAGGCCGTGCAGCACATAAAAATCCTTCATGTACAGCTGGCACATTTAACTTTGATTATGTTGTTTAAGTGACTGATCTGAGAGCAGCCTGGATCCGCGCGGCTTGCAGGGTTGGAAAACAAGGCAGTTCCGAGGCAGCTGCAGCTATTTTGGAAGAGCGACGAGCCGTCCTCAGGACTCGCTGCCGAGCGAAGTCTCGTGGCGCTGCGTGAGCGGGTCCCGCGCGGGATGGAGGGACCTGCCCGGGGGATAACGCGTCACCCGAACGGATGGGTGTACAACCGTGTGCGATGGGTCCTGCGGGTGTCCCCCCCAGAACAACGTGCGGGAACGCCGGCAGCAGGGCGGGAATGCCGCTTCCCAGGCTGAATCCAGCGGGAAGAGCCGTGATGGGGCTCGGCAGGGCCTGGCAGCACCGCTGGGGGTGTCACCTCATTTTGGAAGTTGGTTTCTCTTCTTTCCTGCCCCCGATTGCTCCAGGGCCTTTTCTCAGCCAGTGCAAACAGTGTGTTTGGAATTCCCCTGGCGTC